TAGGCCCGCACAATGGTAAAATTAGCCCAGGAATATTTTTCACTTAATGTGCGGCTGTGGTTTCATTAGTAAAATTTCGATTAATTTTGGCCTAAATTATTGATCGTCGCTCATAGCCAATCAAAATCGAGGATCATCTGTGAAATTTTGGTGCGGCAGCTAGGTTCAATGGACCAACTATGACTATCACCCTCTTATTTAATTAGTGAAAAAAAATTATTAGTAAAAAATTACGTGGGATCTACTAAAAAGAGGTACGTACGTAGCTTTCTGGGGACCTTACACTAACGCAATCATGTGATTTTAACTTAATATAAATACATTTTTCACATTTTTTTTTTTTTTTTTTACATTTTTCACATTTTTTTAAAATCGCGATGGAGACCGAACGCATGACGAAAAAGCCTAAGCTGTCCGATCATCTATTGGAATTAAAGGTTAACATTTATACTTTTTTTTTTTTTGGTTTTTTTGTTTGAGCAGACATACTGAAGGGAAATATGGTAAATATTTTAGTTTATGCAACGGACGCAACAAAAGCTTCGTATTGCTGAAGAAAATGCTAGACATTTAGCAATTAATGGTGAATCTCAATGGTGGTTAAACTATGACGATGTTGAAATTGGAAAGCCGTATGTTTAAAAGTTATTATTTAATCATTCTAAAAAACCAATGTTTTAATTTAAAAATTTATCATTTAAAAATTTATCATTCCCTTTACATAATTAAATTTGCATTAAAGTAAAATAAATATCAAATATTGCCCAAGTTATTACTCTTGTATAAATCCGACATTTGCGGGGAGAATGTCTTTCGGAAAAAAAGAGGTAAGCCTAAAATTATCGGATGTCTAAGTTTATTTGAGAATGAATTAGAATTTATTTTTTATTTTTTTTTTGAATAAATAGGAGTCTGTTAAGCCTGAAATTATAACACTAGATGATGACGATGTTACAGTATATGATCAAAAACCAACTTCGAAGAGTAAACGCAAACGTGACTCTATTTTACCCACTCGAAAAAAAAGATCGATTGAAGTTCAAAACATTGAGTATATAGATGATGATGATGAAGCTCTAGTCCCTCAAACAAGATATAATTTGAGGTCTAGAAAACCCACATCTTCTCAAACTATTGAAGAGACAATTACATTAAATACCCAGAACAATCGGGCTATCGAATTTATGAAACCACCAGAATGATTATTTTTTTTTTTTCAATGCGTTTTATGGGTCTTTATCAAAGTCATTGTGAACGAAGCCCGTTAGAATAAATAGAAAAATAGAAATTAGACGACACTATAATTGTGCAGCAAGTCTTTTGTACTTTATTAATGCGAATATTTGCACAAGAGGAAGGTCGTTTGATTAAAATAGCTGAAAAATAGTGTAAATATCTGTTCACTAAAAGCGTAAATAGTTCTAAGCTAAATTCAACATTTTTGATCGATAAACATGTCGAGAGTTCCTTTTTGTATTTTTTTGGGAGAATATTCAAGTATGCTCGCTTGCGTCTTACCACGACGGTGGCTAGTCACAAAATAAAGACGCATATAAAGTCTGTGTATAAGATCTTTCGCCTAAAGTAGCCAATTTAGAATATGAGTTGAATGAGTGCGAACAAAAATAAAATATCTTCCAAAAATAAGTATTCCTTTTTTTGCGTCACGATTATCAGATTGACATAGCGTTGCTTATTTTCGGAAGATTTCGATTTCTTACCTTTGTTCGATCCATGAAAGCGGCTCTCATATCCACTAAAATATAAACGAAGAATTAAAATTATAATAACGACAAAATATTTGCAATCAGACATCATTATGATAATCTTTAGGTTTTTGTGATTATATTGAGGTCTGCGTGTTTTCTTAAAATATCTTACCTATTTTTCCATGTAGATATTTTAATTTTTGTATAATCTCTTCAACAATATTCTTAAATAACAATAAAAAATAATAAACGTTAAAATTAAAATTAAAATTAAAATAAATTTTACAATCTTATACCTTTTCAGATGTCATCTGTTTTTCATCATCAATAGCAAAATTAAGCAATAATACTTTATAGTACAACTCATTATAGTTTGTATTAATTTGAATTTTAAACATCGACTCTTCACCGTTAAAGAACGATAAAAGTGGTTCTAATGATAATGGTTTTGTTACATCGATCTACATTAAGTAAAATCAATTTAGCTAAAAAAAAAATTTAAAAGGATACAAAATGATAAAGCTTGTACATAACAAAAGTCTAACCGTGTTTAAATCCCAAGTTTTTGAACTTAATGTGAAGAGAGATTTAAATGCCAAAAGTCTTCGTAATAAACGACCACGATTTGAAATAGGTAAATTGTCTAATATAACAGCATTAAATTTTGCTATTGTACCACATGCTGAAACAATATCTTCACAAATGAGTTTTGCCTAATTATACAATTATTATACAATTATTATCTATTGAATAGATCATTTAATTACATAAATTTATATTATGATTCATACTTGGGAACTCCAATCATCATCTTTGAAAAGATCTAAAAACGAATCAACTGTTCTTTCAATGTAACTAGATATCAAAGAGATGCGCCTATCCAAAGACATACGAAGGACAACATATATCGCTCTTCTTATTTCTTCATAATCAGAGAATGATAATAATCTATGTTAAAATACAGAAAAATATTATAATCAATTAATAATTTGTTAATTATTTGTTAATTATTTGTTAATAATTTATTAATTATTTGTACAAATTAATTAAATCATTCCAAAGTAAGCTTGTACCAACCTGTTTTTAACTAAGGGCGCAATCGTTTTCAAAAGAACTTGTAAATTATCAATATAAGAAAATTTGGATGATGATGGCTCTAAAATATTAAAAAAAAATAGAAAATTTTAATTCACAGTTAAATTAACAAAAATGACTTTAAAATGCTCACACAATGCACAATACCAAATGGCAAAGACGACTTTGCTTGTTCCTCCAAAAAACATTGATATTCTAACATTTGTGATGGTGCGCCAAATACGGATAATATTTGATATATTGATGAAAACGGTATGCTGGTAGGTTCAACAGTCGTATTTATACTGTACCGGCCCTTGAAAGATTACATATAAATTTCTGACGTAAGAAATAAATGTATGATCAAATTTGTTAGAATATAAAAAAAAGAAAATTTTAATAAATACACTAATTTCAGCGAGACGTGTCAAAGTATGGGAAGCAGCTTCTATTATAATTGTATCCTCTTCATAGCTTACTAAATTAAGAAAATCGTACCCTTTCTTAATCGAGATATTTAACATTAATTTTAAAAAAATCGCACGTGATATTTACTTAATTCTAATAGCCACAAAATGGTTTCAGGTGGTAATTTCATTCCAAGTTCATATTGTTGTGGAATCCAATTTTGACATAGGATATATTTTAACTTGTCATCGTCTAAACAACCAAGTTAAACTACGGATGTTAAAATTTTGCTATCTTATAATAATAATAATAATAAACAATTATTTCGAGGGAATTGCTAAAGTTAGATGCAGTCATGTAAATTATTAAAATTGGCCGAATATATATATTGGATATATTTGATTGGCTCTTAGTCACGCGACTGCATCTTGCCTTAGGCAACCCCTATTTTTATCTAAATACCAGAAGATGAACCGGCTATCAGTGCAAATGCAGGATCTTCCAAAGTTTGCATGGTAGTCTGCAAGGCAGGACTTGGCAACTCCTGTTAAGCACGTGACATTGTGTAAATATCAATATTTAAATTATCGGATTATTAATGAAGATTTATAATTAACTTTACTGTATTATTATCAATGAAAAATTCCATTTGTTGGTCTAAATCATCACTTTCATCTTCTTTAAAAATCTAAATTAATTAAAAGAATTAATTAAGTCACTTATTATAAAATTCCCAAATTATCAGTAAACTAGATAACAAACCTGTTGCAAATGTTCACGTTTATCTTCGTTTAATACTGCAGCAGAAATCTCTGTACGATCATAGACATCAAATGGATCATCTAATTCACAAAGAGACTAAAGTAACAAATTTAAATCATAATAATAACAACCATTAGATTAATATATAAAATATACAAAAAAAACATTCAACAATGGATAATTATTAAAAAGATATTAACATCTCCATTGATTGTCAATTCTGCAGCACGAATATTATAGCCAACTTTATCTCGATGCCTCTTTTCTCGAAGAAGAGAAGATAATGAAAATTGATATTTCCTTGCGGAAATATTTGAATTTGTTGAAGTAGAACTATTCACACAAGGAATTTCACCACGTAATGGAATAGCTTCAGCGGTTGGTAACATTTGTTGAAAAGAAACTTGTTTTCTAGAACGCGTACTTCGACGTAATGTAGGTTCGTCACTCTGAGAACTATAGAAAAAAGAAAATTTAGTATTAAAAAAAAAAATTTTTGTTTATAATATTTATAATTTATATATAATATCATTTATACATTTATATAAAAATAATCACAATGATGAACCTTTCACTTCTCTCAAATAATTTGCTTGACAATGTTTCTGAAAAAACCAAGTCAAGATCGGTTGATAATATAAGATCATCATCCTCATCATCTTCAATAACCTTTTCACAATGAACAAAGAATTTTTATTAATAAATCATAATTAAAATAATTAAAATATAATTAAAATATAAGAGTTCACATACATCACTTACATCAGGAATATTTTGTAATTTATCGTCATCCGAATCGTCTACCGAAGTAAAACTTTCAGTCCTCGAGTCGTCAATCGAGTTACTAAACAATACAATCAAAGGAAAGGGGAAAAAAATAAATCATAAGTAAAACAATATTATTGTTCTTGAATATTTTATATCGAATGCTACCTTTTATTTAAGTTGGAAACTCGAGGAAAAAACTTTGTTATAGGGGGAGTATGTCTGAAAAAAATAAGGTATTCAAGATCATTTTTTACAACTATAAATTTCGGTTGTACGAAGAGGGGAGACGTGTGTGTATGTGCTAATATGAAACTAAGTCGAATGCGAATGCTCACCGAAACGCTTCACGTCCTTGAGTCTTTACTTTAACCATTGCTAATTTGTTGGCTTGAAAATATTATGTCTTTACGATAATTTTGTATAAATTACCGAGTTTTTAAAACCTTATAAGATACAATTAAAGGTACCAACACGAGACGCGCAACCTTTTATAGAAAGAACAAAGTAAAGAAGAGAGTGATAGAAATTCGAAATATTCTTTAGCACGTGATAAAATTTAATTAATAATAATGAAATCATGTGATTATCAAATTTCTACATACATACAATACATACAATACATCATATTTATCATATTTGAAATTGTTTTCTGATTCTGTAATTGTGATATAAAGTTTAAATTATTTAAATTGAAATAATTGAATAATTGGATAATTAAATATATATATATATGATTGAATTGTATTATACATCATGATATGAAATATGTATATATTAAAAATCTTAATTTTAAAAGGAAAAATATATATGTGTAAAAAAATGTAATAAACAATAACGCGTCCTTTTAAACAAATTTTTTTTTTTCAGAGATATAAAATACAAGTTTTTTGTTACAATTTGTTATTATATATTATTTTTTTTTTTTTCCTTTCGGAATATGAATCAAAAAAAAAAAAAAGAGAAAACTTATTGCTACTATATTAATATTACTTTTAAACAAAAGAACCCTTCAATAAAAAAAACCCCAAATTTTTTTTAAAAGTAAGTCTAACGATAAATAATAATTAAGCGTTATACGTAAAGAAAAAAAATGGATATATATGTAAATATATATATATACATATATATCATTTAAGCATTAACAACCGTTAATCTTCTTTTTGGTATTGTCATAACAACGACTTCTCTGTTAGTAATTTCTTGTTCAAGTTCGGCTTGTTTATCTTCTTCACTCATTTCATCTTGTATATTTGTTCTATTATTTATACTATTAAATCTACTATCAGTACCACCAAATTCACTTCCACTAGCTTGACTATATTCATCATTATTAGTCCCATTTACGTCATTTGATGATTCATTCACGTCACCATGACCACCAAATTTTGTCATTATTGCTACTAATAAACTGTTTTTACCCTTTGGATATCCTGCCCAAGCCAATAAAATCCAACATAGATATATAATAAACATAAAAATTAAAAACAAATAAAAAAAAATATTTTCTACAAGTTTTGATGTATACAATGAATTTGCTATAAATATTGCAAATAAAAGTAATATAATTTGATAAGCTATATGGTACAAATGTCTAGTTAACAATAAAAGAGACTTTTGAGGTTGTTGTTTTGGATAAAAATGTTGTGAAGTCGGAGTCATAATTGGAGTTCCATTTGATCCTACACGTTGATGAAATGAAGCAGTACTTTGAGAAGTTCTTCTTGAATTTGAAGAACCATTTTGCATATTAAGATTGTTAAGATTGTTAAGATTGTTAAGATTGCGTAAAGTATTATTCAAAACCAATGGATTTTCTGCAATGGTTACACTTTTTCGTTTATCTACCCAAGAATCAGAGGATGGTTTGTTAAGCATTGAAATTGGCTTTTGATAATTGTCGTGTTGAAAGTTGAGATTTCCAGGTCGAGAAACTTCAAAAGATTTTGTTTGTTTACCATCATCATCAGAACTTTTTAAATTAAACAATTTAGCAATCTTATTTTTAAAACTAGGATTATTTTCATCGGATTCAGGATCATCAGAAGTAGTTGCAGGATTATAAGGACCAAACTTTCTAATAGTTATACATGAACATATAGCCAATAATGGTATGACGATATATATGAGAACAGATAATATTACGCCCATTAATCCATGAGGGGTTGAGAAATGAGAAGTTGGAAATTGTTGCATAGAGACCAAAAAACCATAAATCAAAAAGGCGTAAGCCAACAATATGAAAATAGCATAAATTCCAGCAATAATTGGACCTTGACCGAATCTAACTATTGAAGTTGCAATAGGTAAAATTATAAAGCTTAAAGTTAAATAAATTATGTGATTACTATTGATGGTAGCATCAGCAAAATGAGGACCAAAGGGACTAGGAGAGGAACTTGAATTCGCAGGAGAACCAACACCATCAAGAGGAGAAATACATTTTAAGAACTCCATGCCAGAAGTGGTTGTAGAGTTACCCTTTGAGACACCATCAGAAAGAGTAAGAAGCCACATATCATTATAAAATGAATTGGTACCATTTAAACCCTCCCCACCAAACATAATAATGCTAGGACCAGACGAATTTGATAGACCGGTATCGATAGCTACCATTCTGGCACCGGAACGTACTTTTGGATAGAAATATTTTGGATCACCTTTGGGAAGAACCCTCACCCAAACGCCCTACATAACATAATATATATAAATATAATATATATTATAATATATATATATAAGAAGCAAATAGATAATTAAATACCCCATTGGCATCAAAAACACCAACTTCACCATCTTTATCAGAAGTCAGTTTTCCAGGTAATTTACCACCAAAGGAAATAGCTTGAGTACGATAAGAAACAACGCCTATAAGCGCGTTATTAATCATCGCCACGCCTTCTCTTGTACCTAAACATTCACCTCTTTGACTCCAACTTGGAGAATTCGAAGTTGGTACACCACTATTAGAGTTACTTCCAATATCCAAACTCCAAACATCAGGTGTTGCACAATCTGATGAGCTTGTTAAATTACATCCACCATACATTACCATCTTACCACCCGGAAGGATAGTTCCACCGGTAGCTTTTCTTCCTAAAAGATAAATTAAATAATTAGAAAAATAAATATATAAAAACAAAAGGATATACAGTCAACTCTGGATATAACGAACTTTACTCTATAACGAATTTTTTTTTTTTAAAAAAAAATTATTATAGAGTTCGGTATAGAAATATAATAATTTACTTTATTTATTATAAGAACCGTCAGTTCGTTATAAAGAGAGTTGACTGTAAATATAATATATACAGTCAATACACAGTCAACCCTGGATATTATTGTATACAAACCTTTTCATTTTTTAAGTATTTTTAAGTATTGTTTTTTACGTATAACGAACACACTATAACGACTTTGAAGTTATGAAATAAATAAATAATGAATAAATAAAATAAAATAAAATAAAAATAAAACAATAATAATAAAATAATAATAATAAAATAATAATAATAAAATAATAATAATAATAATAATAATAATAATAATAGTAAAATAATAATAATAAAATAATAATAATAAAATAATAATAATAATAATTATAATAATAATAATAATAATAAGTTCAATTGCTATATAACTAATTTTGTTTACTACGAAAACCGGCAGTTCATTGTGATTATAGAGTCATTATTGCTAGTTCATTATAGAGAGTCATTACATTATTGCTAGTTCATTATAGAGAGTCATTATTGCTAGTTCATTCTAGAGAATCATTATGCTAGAACATTATAGAGAGTTGACTGTATATACAAAAATTAGGCATTTACATACCTGGAGGAAGTTGACCACTAGTAGAAACCTTTGTCCACTTAACAGATAAGGTACTACCAGAAGTAGCCAAAGTTCCACCCACCACCATAGCCCAAAGGTCAGTAAAAAAATCGTTTCCATTAGTTCCATGAGTTAACCACATAGTAGTGTTTGGAGTAGTTTGACTTCCACCTTGTACAGAAGTATCAATTCCTCCAACAGCACCATACATTTGAGGAACAGGGCCACTCGCTGAAGATACATCTGTTATTTCAGCCCAAGTATTATAAGTTATATCAAATGCCCAAGTATCGTTATATACTATATTACTGTCACCTTTACCACCGGTTATTACAAAAATATTTCGGTAACCAGCATAAATATCCATTCCATATACCATATCAGATCTAGCACCTGGTCTTTTGGTAGTTTGTAGTGAAGACCAAGTCATGGAATTAAGGTCAGCTATATACGTGGCACCTGATTTTGAGTTGTCTTGTGTGCTATATAAAAAAAGATGGATATATATATATATATGTATGTATTTTAAAGCTAAAAATTTAATCCATTAAATTTTTCTTTTTTTTTTTTTTTGAAAAAATACATACGTTCCGCCAAAAATGATCAATTTATTGGCCAACTTATTGAAACCGAAACCAAAATCCTTTAACCCCTGCGGCTTATCACCGGACATTTCTAAAAATTTCCATTGCATTATAGGTATAGTCAACGTTGGAACAGAATCATCTTGAGTATGATTCAGATTGTCACCAAAGACGAATTGGAAGAAACATATAAATATTACTAAAATAAATTGTATTGAAGTATGTGATCGTAATAGCATAGCCAAAGTCTTTGAATTCATTATGATAGTTCCGATTGATACAGAAAGAAGCTATCTTATTGTTTAATGCGAATTTGTTGTTGAAGAGCAGTCCAGTTACAAAGATCTAAACGCTTTTTTTAGAGCAGAGTTTACTGTAATCTACCTCTACAATATTCCTACAGTATTCCTACTATATTTCTACAGTATTTTTATATAAAAAAAGGGGAAAGAGAAAGGAATAAGAGTATTAAGACGACACCTCTAATATTGTAACTATTGTAACTATTGTAACTATTGTAAATATTGCTTAAGCAGGGTAATTTTAAAAACGAGTATACGTAAAAAAAAAAAAAAAAAAGAGACCTTTCAAAGGTTTTCGTAGACTTGTAAAGTTCGTTCAAGACCACGTATACAAAACTACATAAACATGATGCCTTGAATCATTGAAGTTCAAAGCGAGGCATACACGATCTTTTAAAAAGGATATAATATAAGGAAAAGAAAATAGACAAAACGTTTTATTATTTAACGATGGTAAAATGATAAATTAAGAGAACAGAAGTTGACCTTAATTGAGCATGAACTTACTCGATGAAGTTTTTGTGTAATGAAATAATGTTCAGCATTTGCTGTCCCCGGCATATGCACTAGTTTTACTGCATCTGGAAAGAATTCTACGGCAAGAAATGTCTAACAATTCTAATAATATCTAATATCTAATACGAATTGATATAACGCTAACGTAGGACGAATCTATAAACTTTTTTTTTTATCTTGAAATATCCGTATAAATTAATAACATTATTAAATAAATAAATAAAAATTGTAAATAAATAGATAACGCTAATATAACAAATAAGTTTGTGTTTCATACACGATTTATTATAAAACCAACATGTGACAATAAACCAATCAAATTAACGATATCGTCTAGTGCCAAGTATTCTTTAATATTCTGAAACCTGTGAGTACAATACGTAGTATAAAGTAATTATTACATCTCTAAATAATATTACATATATAGATATATACGTATCAGTATATAGTTTATATACATACGATATGTATATATGACAAATCAGTATATATAGAAATTCACCTGCTAAGCAAACATAACACCCCTTCAAAAGACACCCTTCAAAACATCCTTCAAAACATCCTTCAAAAGGCCCCGTCAAAAGGCGCCCTTCAAACGACACCAAAAGACACCAAAAGACACCTTCAAAAAACCTTTAATAAACATTCTTCAAAGAGACACCTACCAAGAGACACGCCTTCAAAAAGACACGTAGAAACGGTCTTAATCTTCATTAATAAAGTGTTACATTCTTAAGAAATACTCTAAGCAATATAAAGTAGCATAAATGATTAACCAATCCGAAGAAAGTTAGGCTATGTCTATGACGTTTATAGAATTAATAAAATGAATGAATGCTCGATGCACTAATGATTATATAGAAGGTAAGGAGTCGTTTAAAAGCGTTAGTCTATGTTAGTCTACGTAGTTGATTCATTGTCTTACTTATATATAAAGTTGTGTACCAATTTAATCCTTCAATAACGATAAATAACGATAATTGTCCGATCAATTGCGAATGGCTTTTATTTTCACGAGATTATTATTCACGAGATTATTATTCACGATACTGTATTATTCATAGATATATAGATATTATTCACAGATATTATTCACGATATTCTAGGCCTTACTCTATTTACTCTACTGAATTTAACCTTACCTTTCAAAGTAAAAAAATCTATCACATAAAAGTACTAACTTAGAGTTCTTTAAATTAGGAAAAATGACACTTTATTTAAAATGGTAACAACAATACTCGAGATACTCTAGATAATACTCTAGATCGACCAATCGTATAATTCTGCATGTTTATGTATTTACTGATTGGCTACTATCAATAATATTGACATGTTTATTTAGACTAGTGTAGTTTTCTGGGACTCGTTCCTTAGATTGATCAACTGTATATCAAACATATGTACTGTACACGTACGTACATATCTGGCGTACGTATATACGTATCGTGTTAATTAAGGTTCTTGAAATAAAATATAACTGTATATCGATGTATATCGATTAAATTCATTTATAATTATAATACTGAAAAATAATTATATACTGATACTGAAATAATTATACGTATACGTACTGAATTAATTATATACTGAAATGATTATATACTGAAATGATTATATACTGATACTGAAATACATAATTATATACTGAAATATAATCTGATATACAGTACTCGCAATAACAGATAAAATTTCTGCGTCATAAGAAAAAAGAAATCGGTACAGTATTGTTTATTGCAAACTGATAAATTTATTTATAATTCCTGACGTATCAGTATGTATGTACAGTACGTACAGTACGTACGTACTGTATAGTCATTGTTAATTAGTCATTGTTAATCTGTACGTTCGTACGTATTTCACATTCATTTAAATGTTCATTTAAATGTTCATTTAAATGTTCATTTAAATGTTCATTAATTTAGTTTGTAAGTTTGTTCCTACTGGCTCCTTCTATTGATAAGAATTACATGAAGTTAAGCTTATTAGGCTAAGGAATTGAATTAATTTTGCTATCCTAATTTAATAAATGGTTGATCACTACGATTCGCATATGAAAAATGTATTTTTCACGTGACTATGGTGACTATAATTGCTTATTTAATAAATTTGTATACATACGTAGAGATAATGTACGTACGTACTTACAATATTTGATTAGTAAGCTTTAGTATAAGAGTTGGCGCTAAGTTGCCATTTACTCCCTTTAGTTCTTATTGGACTCGGTTACATTTACATAATCTTGCTTGTGACCAATTGCTTCCGTTTAAATGCTGTCTTGTGGTGATAACGATATTGATAATGCAACTTGCAATCCATACTCAAGAAATTGGGCTTAAGCATGTAACTTAACGTTATTAATTTACCAAATAAAAAAAAACCTTAACGCTAACGTTAATGCTTATAAAGTTGCTATATACTGTTACTTGGCGCAATACGTACGTACGTACGTACGTACGTACGCACGCACGTAACTTGATTTTGTATACGTACAAAAACAAATAAATCAATGATTGTATTAGTCACACAATTTGTCATATGTGTATTTTTTAGCTCCTAGAAAATGTGGATCGGATGATCGACCGGAAAGATTTAAGATCATTCGGAACTGGTTCCAAAATTACCTACGTACGTACGTACGTATTTGCATTGTCATTACCAGTCGATCGGGGTGTCACACTTAATTTTCTATCATATGATCTTCATAAATTACACAAATCGACGAAATCACGTTTTTAAAATTTTTACCCAAAGTCTTAGTCTTAACATACAACGTTTCTTAAGGCAAGTAAGTTGCCGGGGCTTCAACGAATCGAAAGGTATAAATAATATGAAAAACTAACGTCACCCGGTAGAATGTGACTCCTTCAAAGAGGAGCAATTATTTTGCCTTCTTTCGCATGATTCTTTTTGAGTTTTCAAGATCTTGATGTGAAAAATA